CCTTCCCTGTCAGCATACGACCAAGGTCCCACCGGGGTTGGTTACCCCATTTTTCCTACGGTTACTCGTACCCCAGCCGGCACTGTGCGGAAGTTGCCCATGTAACATTTAACGTTTTATGAAGTACTTCAAGGCTTCTATAAAACAACATTCATAAAACCCTGGTCAAGATAGCTTTGCCTTTATTACATCCACCAAAACCGCATTAAGACTAGAATCTGTCTAGTTGGCCCACCCTGAAGAAGGTTCTAAAGAGTGTATTATCGAGACATTTCAAGAATGACTTGCTGCATAAAGGTTATATGACGAATGCATTGAGCACCATTTGAAATCCTTATTAAAAGTACAATAAAACCCATTCAGCACCAATACTTGTGCCATTTGCCTTTGACGCTTGCTAAGTGCACTAAAAATAAAGCATCAATCAAGATAAAAAGGAATACATAAATATCGTCCGATCTTGCCAAATGAATTGTTAAAAAATGAATCTGTCAAAAATCCTCATAAATTTCCTCATCATTAAAGTTAAAGAATTATTAAAAATATTGAAACTCATATTGTGGTTTATTTTTAGGTGACAGATTAAATCTAATGTGAAATATGGTTCGGAAAATCGAAAAAAATAAGTCCGCCTTCGGAAAACGTTGATTTGCCTAATTATTTTTGATTTAGGAAACAAAATATAGTTTTATCACAGACAAACAGGCGTAAAACTTCATTGTGTATCTTCGTTCACGCATTTAACGGTTGATTTAAATATTATCAGTTCTGGCATTGGATCACTTTGACGTTTCTATACATTCTATAGAACTTTGTTGCAATATTGTTTGCGAGTTAGCGAGCAAGCTTGTTTTCCGCGAGAAGGCCGAGAGATGTCGTTACTGAGGTCCTATGTTTTGAGATACTATGTTTTCATGAAATACTTTTTCAAAGAGTTATGTCTGTTTGTCTGTGGTTTTATGTTATGTTAATCATAGCTCACAGCCTAGACAATTTTGATGATTTTCGTAATTTTTATTACGGCTCATTGATGAATTGATGAGAATAAAGTTATTTTAAAGGAAAAAAAATCTTGAAAAACGAAGATTGTAAAAAAGCAAATGGAATAATAACAATATGGCGATAGCATACATATTAATTTCCCATAAACCATTCGTGAAAAAGCTGTTTTGCTTTCATGAAATCGCTGAAAAATGCAAAACATTTTAACGTGGAATTTATGATGATAATTTGCAGACTGAATTATATTTATCTGAAACCATTTTGCTTGATCAAATTCCGTTTAGTTTTATGACGGCATTAATGGTGGCAAAGTTGCCTGGAAAAAGTTAAACTTCAAAATTTGTTTATGGAGTTACTCAGGAAGTGAGTCTACGTAACATGGAACAGCTGGAAGCCCAATCGTTCCCGAAAAGTTTTCCTTCTTCCGGATGAGTTTCCTGTTAGCAGTTTTACGCAATCTCAGTTTGGCACTGATGCCATTCGGATCATCATCGCAACGCTTTTACTAGATAAGGCTGCCATTGACAATATGCTGTGTATTCTCATCAATGTTATGCGTCTAATTCGACGGCTTCCAGTGCTTCGCAAACCGCATTCACTTCACTCCTCTTTATCTTTCCTCTTTCCAAAGACCGTGGGAACGTGGCCGACCTCGGTTCTGATCTATAAATAGATTGAATCAGAGAACATTCAAGATGGAAATCAAATCCCAAACTCCATCTATGTCTGGCCTGACCACCCTTTAAAAAATCTGTATCTTTGTTCGATGACCATTAGACTGATGCAAAATTTGAATTTTCCGCTCCACAATGCTCAAACGGTTCCAAATTGGGTCCTGATTAGCGTCCCCACATTTGAACTCGTTTGGTAAGGAACTGACTTGGCACAAACCATTTGATTTGCTGCTGAGAAGTAGGGTCGTTACAAGGCCGAACTACTTTTCACGGCACAATCACACGGAATTGTTATTGATTCCACTTAACCTAATTAACTTACAACTTACTCGAATTCTCCCGGAACTCGATGGCAAAACCGAACGTCTTAGCTTGGATCCTTCTTTTTGGCAAAATTTTCTTGCCCGAAATCATCACCTTCAGCAGTTCCTCTTGCAGATTGAGCCGAAAGGTGTAGTGCTTCTGAATCGTTTCCGTAGCATTGACCAACAACGCTAGGACGACATTGGAGCAGTAGGACTTGTAACGCACACCCAGAGTACAGATGATCGATTCGAAGTGCAGATAGCTCTTGTCGTTGAATGCACTGAACTTCAAGCTGTAATTGCCACCCGATTGGATAATCGCGCACATATCCAACTAGTTGGTATCCACACCGGACCCGTATCTTTTGTCCGTCAGAGCCTGCTCGACATCCTTCGACAGTTTGGCATGTTTTACTTTTCTATCAGCATCGATAATCTCCATGATGTGATCCTTGAGGTACTGGTTGAATACGTCTACCGTCACCAGGAGGCCTTCTTGATGGTGATAACCTCAGAGTTCTCCTTAGAGCACATGATGTACCCGAGTGGGACGCTTCGGGGCCGTTGTCAATGCAAACCAAAATATTCAAGATGTCAGAAATACCGGGTTGCCAAATATACCATAATATTCGTATTTTACAAAAAAAAAATCGCAGCTTGCTCTATGACCGGCACTGCCGGCACAATCGTCACACCTGCGGCTCACTTGCAGCACACTGAGAAAAATGTTGACCCAAGATTGGTGTGCGGAGTGACCTAACCTTTGATGGAAACTACTATGTAAAATCCAAACTTTTTGTTCATTGTCTTCTAGCCATTTTCCATATTGCACTGTTTAAAAGTTTTAAATCTCAGTGCTAACATTTGAAAACGGCACAAAAGCCATTTGTAAACAAATGGTTTGTGGGCCCTTTACTCACTACTTGAAGTACACCCACGCGACACAACAGCAACATCGGGTAGGGGAAATTTTCCCCTTCCTGACGATGCTGTTGGTTTGCGTGGGCGTTCTTCGGGTAGCGAGTAAAGGGCCCACAAACCATTTGTTTACAAATGGCTTTTGCGCCGTTTTCAAATGTTAGCACTGATCTATTCTTATGGGAAAAATATCTCTGCTACAACTTTGCCGAAGTCCGTTTTTCAGCCTAACGTCAATTTAAATAGTTATTAATTGTTTAAGAGATTGATAATATTATGGCATTATCAAGCAGCTGTTTGCTGGTGAGCACTGTGGAGTAAATATTCCAAATTTTTGCATCAGTCTACCATGTTTCAAGCTGCATTTTGTTTATTTCTCATTTATTGTGGGGTAAAATAATGATATCATTTCTTAAATCCAGAGACCACATCCGGCCCACCGGTCACACGTTTTGGCAGCGCTGATCCATGTGGTTCACTGTGCAATTTCACTGGTTCTGATCAGTAACGGAGTAGCAACAACCGGTGGAAACTAATGATTTTAAATTGGCTCACTACTTGACTAGCCTATTGGTCCCAAGCAAATCGATTAACGTAGCCCATTCTAGTCGAAATTCTAGTACTACACTACCTTTGTTTTGATTCTCTATGAAAGTTTGACAGATAAAATGAGGGGTTCGTGGATTTTCCTATGTTTCGAGGGGTGCATCGATTAGCTTGGGACCGAAGAGAGTACCAGAGCTGAGCCAAAAAGTTGAGCACGTTTCTTCGGTACCTTCTAGTCTTAGAGTTACCTCTTTGGTAGCAACTACAACCTGCACGATGTAAAAACAAACGGGTAAATTTATTTTCCATGTTGTATAATATGTACTACACTCTATGGTGAGGAAATTATCAACCCGGAACCATTCTCAACCGGAATGAAACTCGAGCCCGTTACCGTCAGCATGGCCTCGCTTTATTACTGCACCTCAACTGACTAGCCTAAGGCAGGTCCTTCATCATCATTAAATGTTGCAATAATCGTAAAATGAATAGGTGTTTACAGAGCGATTTCTATACCATAACAAATTTTATTCTCACGAACATCTCACACGGACGATGAGATCCACTCAAAATTGAGTTGATTTCGGCTCTATTTTGCAAAACGTGGATTTGCTTACAAAGTGAGCTTCCAAGCTTATCCAGGAAAAACTTCCCGAATTATGAGGAAAATCGATAGAGAATTTACTCAGTATTTTTGTACTGTAATCTCTTCCACCCACCGCTGTTTCTCGGCTGTATTTCAAGCAATCACTGTTTTTTTAATGTGATTAGTGTCAACCATAAACTAGTTATCTACAGAAAATCAGCTCAATTGGTTGAAGAACAGCCGAAAAATCAGTGTCAACATTTCAAAGGAACGTTATTGCTTTTGTAAACAATGGCTTTAGCCGTCGATTTCTCGCGAATAAAACATCACACATGAACATTAATGACACCAGCAAGTAGAGGAATGTTTCCTCTACCAGCTAGCATTGTTAATTTGAGCTTTTATTTGCGAGAAATCTTACAGATTTATTGTCTACAAAAGCAATTACACCTCTTTGAAATGTTGACACTGGAATAACGGTGGGTGGCGGGTACCACCCACCGCATAAATGGAGGGATTACTGTTTACTCCTAGACTGAGTAAAATTTCCGCCGATTTTCCTCAAAGTCGAGAAGTTGTAACTCACTGTGTGAGCTTATTCAGGGAAACTTTGAGATTTGGGCGTAATTGATTTTGTAAACAAACAAGTCAAGCGCCGATTTCTCTAAAAAAAAACGCTCAATCTCGCAAACAAACTATACCAAATGGAGGAGGAATCATTCTTCTACCTTTTTGTGTTCTTAATTTTCAAGATTGAGCTTTAATTCGCGAGAAATCGGCGGTTGACGTGTTTGTTTCCAAAATCAATTACACCAAAATCTCAAAGTTCTTTGGAAATCCACTTTTTGCCAAATTGAGTCCATCTAATCGTCCGTGCACCGTCACATCGCTCCTCATAACAAAACATGTTCTCACCAATCTGTTTTTCTCTCCCACCCACCCACATATTCTCTCGTCGCACGCTTGTAGAAAACGAACCGAAAGCTCCCCAGCCGTTGCTCATGGACGATGCGGGCTTCAAGTGCATCCAGGACACCAACCTGGGGCGGGATAAAAATTCGCTCCAATTCTGGGACTTTGTCGAGCGATGGCGTGCGAACCGGGCGCTGAAAAAGCTCGACAGCTCCAACAACTTCCCCAAAAGTGGCAACGGCAGCACCAACAACAACAACAATGCCGCCGCCAACGGACTGAATGGCTACTCCGCCGATCCGTCGTCGTCAGTGTCGATTGGCGGTTCGGGCAGATCGGACGTGAAAAGGTACGCTACTAGTAGAAAGTCGGTGATTTATGAGCGCGCGCAATTTTTTGAAAATTACACATTCAGTTGATGAATCCGGTGGTGAAGAGGTTTATGATTTAATAGTGCGACTATTCGCTTGTGAGATTTATCGAATTATCATCAAGAGCGGGGGCAAAACAAGTGAGTGATTTCAGGCAGCATGGTTTATTTAGATTAACTTTCTCGAATGGTTTGCATTAAAGTCGAGTACAACGTCAGAAACCGGGCACCAGTGAACATGTGATAAGTAGTGAAAATTGTTGTTTCTAAATTAAACTTTTTCCAGCAGCAGCGGTTGTAGCAGCGTGAACCTCGGCAAAGGCCACACATCGTGCTGCTTTTAATCGGAAAACGATCGACCAACGAGTGAAAAGAACAACAACTTGTGAGTTTCTTCATCCCGTCTCGTGCCGCCCCGTGTGTGTGTCTGTGCTACGCACGGCGGTTATAAATCAGAAATAGTTCATCAATTGACTAGTGGTCTTGGGGTGGGTTATCTCGAACTGCGGTGCAAATTCAGTTTTGCTGGCCTTAGGCATTTGGACGGACGCATGCACGTTGGAGTCGATTTGTTTATTTTGGTAGCTTTTTTGCAATTTCTGAAATGTAAGTTATTTTAGGATTCGAATAAATTTCGCTTGTTTTCGGCCGTTGTAGGTAGGGCATAATTATATCCAAAACATGCCTAACCGTACATCTAGCTCTAGCTAGATAGATTGGCTGACAAGTTTGTGAACATCTTCAATATCGAAAGGTACACGAAGCATGTGCAGCAGCAACCTTTACGATGATATGTACATATACGGTCTATGGGGAAAGGTAAAGGGTAGCATGTCGTGTGTGAGTGTTAATAGGGTGTCAAAATAGATGAGTTCTTTTCGTGCATGGGCCTCTGCCATCACTTTCGACCAGTCACGAGAACGTTCATTGGCGTGAGAAGGGATAGGAGTATTTTCGGAGCTGTCTGGTGTATGTCACGCAATGGGGTGTTGGGATGATTTCACAACTTACCGGTGATAAATGGTATTTTTAAAGTGTTCCGCATACACTGTATGATTCGTGTCGTGTTTTGTTTAGTACAATAGGATTAATGGTTTGATTGGTGGAAGTTCAATTCACAATGTGTATTTACCGCATGCGCCAATGCTGACGACGTGGATATATTATATATTACGCGGTTGTTATATTCATCAGTGACGTTCAGTGTTATTTAAATGTCGATTCGACGAAGATCCTAATGTAAGATTATCTCGCTTTTCAATGATATAATTATCATAAATATATCATTGTGAAGATTGGCTTATAATTGCACTTCATCATTTAACATTTTATTTATGTACTTGGAATCACGTTTTTCACGACGCACATGGAAAAAGTGAGGGATCACAGGAATCATCCTTATTGTTATTAAAGTGCATGAAGTAATACTGCAGCTGATTCAGAATGTTTAAAAATTGAAATATTTAGGGTTGGTCAAAGTAAATGCAATATTACAACATGACACTGAAATAGTAATTTAGCGTGTTTGTTACGCTTTTAAAAACCTTTAATGCTTTTCGCAGGAAATCTACCTCTTAACCTCTTCTTATTTCCTCGACCGGACCGGAAATCGATCCAGCCGCCTCCAGCTATCTGCAGGAAATACAAATTTCAAAAATGAAAATCTCGCTCTAAGACGTAATTGACATAGAATAACTGAATGGACCTGATTTCAAAATACGTTACGTAATAGGAGGAAGGGGTAGTATATAAAAGTGTTACAATTTGATTCAGATAGTTAAGGGAAAGGGAGGGGGTGCTTGGTTACGCGTAGTAATTAAATTTTTAGAATCTTTTTGAGCTATCTCAGAGGCAAATAAAATGATGAAACGTAGCAAAATTAAAACCCTTCAAATACCTGTCTGACGCTTGCGGTAAAGTGGAAAACTCCAATAAAAAATGTCATAGAAAAACAATTTAACTTATTGTTACCTTTTGCTTACGCCATCAAACCAATACTTAATTAAATAAAAAATACGGCAAACTATGTAAAGCTTTTGAGAGGAATGAGTTATTTCCATTAAATGCAACCCACTTAAAAGCTCTTCAGAAGGGAACCCGTTGAGAAGTTCGACAACATTAAAAGATATGTATTTTAAATAAGGGTTTTACCATTTTTCTGCGAATAATTTCTGGCCAATACCATTTAATTTATTGTGCTTGAATGGTAATTTTGTTTTGCAATTTATTGGATGTATTTTAAATATATTGTTGTTGTCGTTGTCTCTTTAAAGATAAACTTACCGTAAGATGAATTGTAAACCTCATCTCGAACAATGGTGATTATAACATTTTTATCATTTTTTTGGTTTACTTATGGCATTCTTTTAAACCCGAGAACTGCATGATGAATTTGATATAAAGGGAGAGAAAAAAAAATTGGTTTTGACTGCAAATCGCCATTTCACATAATTCCTTGGGGAGGGGGTAAGTATTACATATAAACATCAATCAGAAGAGCCTCATTCGTAATCAATCAACGAAAACGTCGGGCAAAGCACAACTAACTGTTTGAATTACCCTAGACTGAGAAAGCCATAAAAACGAAATCTCCATACAACCAGTCGAACAACCAAATCATTTATTAATATATCGTATCTGGATCCAACGCGTATCCAGCTCTACCTTTTTACAGAAAACCTTTCAAATCTTTATTAATCTCCTTTCTATCTACTGACCGTGTGCTCATCTCACTGCAATGTGAAATCTTTCCTGCATCTTAGCTAGAGTCGTTCTATTATTAACAAATTTCCATACCAGTTTCTCATACCGTTTCCATTGCCAGACCATTGAATTGTTACGAATTTCAAGTTAATCGATTTCTGAGGATGACTCCAATAGAATTCTGAGAGGAGTTTCAACGACAGCTTCAAGGAAGCTCTAGAAGAGTTCTGAGAAAAAAATCCAAATCGAATCGAATCCTGAGGAGACTTTCAGAGTAATTCTACACAGCTAAAAAAAGTAGTGTAAATTTCCGTTACTATGTTGTACTTAAATAGAGCGTCATATATCATACATGTTAACATTAAAGATCGTGTAAATTTATGAGACGTGCCATGCAATATTCCTTATATTGTATCCAACTGTTCACCTTTGTTTGCAACATTTCTTGCAAGCTGCAAGTTTTCGTGAAATAGAAGTTTACTACATCAATGTTTGCATGCATGGATGTCTACATCACCCGTAAAATTCAGTATTTTTTTCTGTGTAGAGATGATATCAAAAGATTTTTTTATATAAAGGGCGAACACGAAATTATTGCGACACATTCAACAGGGCATAACTTTTTTGCCATTGGGTAAAAATCAACCAAATTTTGCACACTTTCTCATTGATGTGTATTGTGTACATGCTGTCAAACTCGAAGTCGTGTTTTTCGATTCAACGAAAATGGAGGTGAACCAACGCGAGTTGAGAGAACAAATTCTTTCCAAACACCTGGAATTTCCTGACCTGTCGCACCGGCAGTTGGGAAAAATGTTGAACATTCACCATTCAACCGTCTCCAGAGTGTTGAAGCGGTTCCAGGAGCGGTTGACGTTGGACCACGGCAAAGGAGCTGGAAGAAAACCGGGACCGGAGAACAAAAAGACGGAGGGAAAGGTGAAGCGGATGATTAAAGCAAATCCCAATGTCTCAAGCCGTGATTTGGCTAAAAAGATCGGCATGTCGCAGAGCTACGTCCAGAATGCAAAGAAGAGAGCTGGACTACATACATACAAGGTACAGAACTTCCCAAACCGCGATGAGCGGCAACAATCGACGGCTAAAACTCGGGCACGGAAGCTCTACGAGAAGATGCTGACAAAATATGGCTGCTGTGTGATGGACGACGAAACGTATATAAAAGCCGATTTTAAGGAAATTCCGGGGTTGGAGTTTTTCACCGCCAAGAGCAAGTTCGATGTGGACGACAAATTTAAGAAGAAGAAAATGTCGAAGTTCGCCTCCAAATATCTCATTTGGCAGGCCATCTGCTCTTGAGGACTGAGGAGTGAGCCTTTCGTGACAAAAGGCACAGTAAATGGCGAGATCTACAAATCTGAGTGCCTCGAGAAGCGCCTTTTGCCGTTCTTGCAGCAGCACGACGAAGCTCCGCTATTTTGGCCAGATTTGGCATCATGCCACTATTCTAAAAGTGTCCTGGAGTGGTATGAGGCCAATTCTGTCCATTTTGTTCCAAAGGACATGAATCCGCCAAACTGTCCGGAGCTGCGCCCGGTGGAGCAGTACTGGGCAATAATGAAGCGGGAACTTCGGAAGAGCAAGAAGACAGTCAAAGACGAGAAGGACATGTTAAGAAAATGAAAAAAAAACTGAGAAACTGGTACCGGATGACACTGTAAAGACTTTGATGGAGGGCATCAAGCGAAAATGCGTTCAATTTTACACTCAAGGCTCCATCGATTAACCTGATTTTTTAAGTAAATATATGTATAAAACTACCCTAAAATTTTGGTTTGATTCTAAACATTATAAGAAAATTGGCATGACATTTTCGGTGTCGCAATAATTTCGTGTTCGCCCTTTAAGATTCAAATCAGAAGAATTTCAAAGGGAATCAAAGATATAAATGCGTCAGGAGTATTCCAAATTAGCTCAGATCAGAACTTCGTGCTTTTAAAGTGTGATGTCGAAAACTATTAGAGATTGGATATCTTAAAAGTGTGTTGATCCTAAGGGTTGATGCATGTATTATGTCACGCTATAGCGGGGAGGGGACAAGCAATGCATTAGGTATAGGAAAAACGTCACAATAGGGGGGGGGGTAAATTTCTCCTCGATTTAGCGTGACATAATTAATGCATGGGCCCTAAGATGATTCTTAGAGAATTCTTGTGAAAATTTTGAATAAATACGGCGAAGAGATCCATGAGAATCGGACAAAGTTATTCAGGCATACACAAATTTTACACCCTCATGATAGGTAATTCAAGTCC